AGAAGTATGTGGCCTGCTCCACTTCCTTAAGCATTGGAGGATCCATCTACAAACAATCTCCAGGTCGCCCAAGGTTCCTCACCTTCCGCGAGAGTTTGGTTGAGGGATTTGCTGAGGGTACACTCTACCAGGAAGTCCACTTAGGCTTGTGCTTTGATGGCATGTCTCAGTTGGTAGTGTAAGTTGAACTCTGACAGCTCAATAATCCATTTGGTCAGCCGACCTGAGGTCTCAGGCTTGGTGAGAAAAACTTGAGGGGTTGGATGGTTAGCACTGTGATGCTATGAACTTGGAAATAGGGCTTAAGTTTCCAAACAGAGACCACCAATGCGAAGGCCATTTTCTGCACTTTAGGGTATCGGGTCTCAGCATCGCAGAGGACGTTGTTGACGTAATAGATTGGCCACTGCACACCTTCGTCCTCTCACACTAGAACAGAACTAACGGCCTCACCCCGACCGAGAGGTATAGGAACAACGTTTCTCTGGGAAGGGGCCGTGTGAGCAGAGGGGGCAAGGTGAGTTAAGACTTCAACTCATCAAAGGCTTTATGGAATTCTTCAACCCATTGGAAGTCCTTCAGCTTCTTGATGGCTCAAGAGAAGGGTATGCAGCAGTCGGTCAACTTTGACATGAATCGATTGAGGGCAGCACTTGGTTGGTGAGCCTTTGTGTTTCTTTGATGAACCGAGGTGGCTCAATGTCAAGTATGGCCTGAATCTTCTCTAGGTTGGCTTCTATACCTCATTGAGTGATAACGAAACCTAAGAATTTTCTTGAGGTGATGCCGAAAGCACATTTATTGGGATTAAGCTTCATGTTGTACTTCCTCAGTGCTGTGAAGGTCTCATCTAGGTCTGAGGTATGCTAGTCAGCCTTCAGTTTCTTCACCACCATGTCATCCACATAGGCTTCGACGTTTCTTCCCATATGATCATTGAAGAGTTTGTTTACAAGTCGTTGGTAGGTTGCTCCAGGATTCTTTAGGATGAAGGGCATGAGCTTGTAGCAATAGGTGCCATGCTCTGTGATGAACGAGGTCTTCTCCTCGTCCTCGGCTTGCATTTTGATCTGGTTGTTTCCGAAGAAGGCATCCATGAAGCTTAGTAGCTCGTACCCTGTGATGGTGTCGACGAGGTGGTCGATCTTCGGTAAAGGAAAATTGTCTTTGGGAAAAGCTCGGTTGAGGTCTGTGAACTCAATACAGATTCTTCATTTCTCGTTAGCCTTCTTAACCATGACCACATTGGACAACCAGTTAGAATAGTGTACCTCCCGGATGAAGCGGCATCAAGTAGCTTTTCTACCTCGTGTCCGATGGCTTTCCAACACTCCGGTGCAACATTCCTCTTTTTTCTACGAAATTGGCTTACATCTTGGGTCCATGCTTAACCTGTAAGTAATGACCGAGGGGTCAATTTCGGTCATGTCAGTGGAAAGGGTGTCTAGAGGAAGGATGGACCCGACGCGCATCGTCTTCTTGGGCTCAACTTCATTTAGGGGAACCGAGACAAGGTCCTCGGATGGCTGGCCTCAACTCGCTGGTTCATCCCAGAGGTCAAGCCCTTCTAACAGTAGGGCTTCTATATTCTTGCCTTTTAGTGCCGCCACATAGCACTGTCTGGCTGTCTGCTGGTTCCCTTGGACGACTTTGAGGTGGTAGGAGGATGGCTGCCTTGAGTGCATGAAGGATCAGCCTCCCGACGATGGCATTATATGGTGAGCCTATCTTTACTACCAAGAGCTCAGTGGTTTGATGACGGCTCTAGAGAAGCCGACTAGTGGCATGCCGACCGGTTGCAACCGATTTGGTGCCAGCTTCATCTTCTCGAATGTATCGTAGAAGATGATGTTCATTGATGATCCGTTGTCTACGAGTATTCTCTTTACCATGTAATTGGCGAAGGTCATCGACACCACCAATGCATCATCATGGGGGACCAAGACTCCCTTTAGGTCATCGTCCGAGAAAGATATGACATCGTTTGTCTTTAGCTTATTGGGCATTGGGCTCTGGATGCTAAGTTTCTTGGCATAGGCCTTTTGGGCTAAGGCCAAGGCTCCACCCAAGGTCATGCCCCCTGCGATGACGTCGATGACCCGACTAAGGTGTGCTGCTGTTGTTGTGAGGACGGGCAACCGATATCGCCGCCCACATACTCCTTCAAGTGGCCATGGCAGATGAGGGATCCAATCTCATTTTTGAGTTCATAGCAGTCCTCACTATCATGGCCGATGCCATGGTAGTACTTGTAGTATTTCTTTGGGTTACCCCTCTTAGGGTTCCTCTTCATCTTGATTGGCCACTTCATGTATTCCTCCTTCCCTACTTGCATAAGGATATGCATTTGGGTGGAGTTGAGTGGTGTGTATTTGTTGAAGGATGGGGCTGATGGCTTCTTGTCAGCGTCCTTGTGGTTGTTTTGGTGGTTGTGGCGCGACCGTCTCTATCCTTTCTCTTCTTCTTTGAGGCCCCTCGGTTGGGGTCGGCCTCGTTCTCTTGGAGGTGCTCACCAGCCGAGGCCTCCTCTACAGCGATGTACTTCTGTGCCTTCTTCAAAAATTCTGCCTTGTTCTTGGGCAATGTCTTGGCAACGAAACACTTGAGGGGTACGAGCTAAAGGCCATTGATGACGGCATGCATGGAGACTGAGGAGTCGAGGTCTTGGACCTCGAGTTCTTCCTTCTTAATGTGGTCGATGTAAGACCAGAGGCTCTCTTCGTGCTTCTGTCAGATTGACATGAGGGAGACGACGGTCTTCTAGCACCGTCGGTTGCTAACGAAGTGGGAGAGGGAGAGGTCGACGAATTGTTCCTACAAATTGATGGACCGACGGTAATGTGAAAAACCATCTACATGCTTCTCCCTTGAAAGTAGCCTGGAAAGCTCAGCATGTCAGGGCGTCAGAGTACCCGTAGAGAAGCATGAGCACTTGGAAGCTTTCCAAGTGGTCGTCCGAGTTGGTGGTTCCATCATATGTCTCTAGTGTGGGAGCCTTGAAGAGAGGTGGAAGTGGCTCTGAGGTGATGGAGTCAGTGAAGGTGTCAATTCTAGTGGATGAGGGGTTCTAACTGGTGGAGACATCACCTTGCCCCTCCTTCACCTATCGGAGCTTGTCTTTCATGGCGCTGATCTGCGCCTGTAGGTTGTCGATTTGTTTATCGATGGGGGCCCCAGGCATCGTCCTTGTCCTCTCTAACGTGGAAAAGGCCAGCCCAGTTCCTGAAAATTTTGGATGCTGGTATGTCCTGGTTTCTTCAGGCTTGGCAGTCGTTGAGGAGGTTGTAGAGGTCCGATACTAGCAAGGGAAAGGCGTGGAGTCGGCCTCCAACCCTCGGAGGAGGACTGTAGTGACTAGAGCACCCGCCTTCGTCCCGGTGGCTCCCTGCACGGTTGTAACAGTCATGGTCCTGACGGTTGTCGCGGGACCCAGTTACATCATCTCCCCATTGGCCGGAGAGGCAAAAAGTCTTTGATGGCTTGCTTGCACGTCGGCTACTACTGTTAGATGCTAAGGGGTTAGATTTGCAAGGGCCGAGGGGTCGCTAGACCAACGGAGCACGAGTAGAGCATCCATTGTACTGCCCCTGGCTCCCAACGGGGCTGCTACCTTGTGGACGACCTCCTGTCAGGCGCTTCAGCTGGTCTAGTCTTTGTGTTATATTGTCTAGTTTATCAAGGACCATTCTGAATTGGTCCATGGTGACCAGGTTCTGAGCATTTGGATTATTGTCTTGTTTATCAGCCATTGTTGAAAGCTTAATTGTTTTGAATTAAGTATTCACTTAGGGAATGTCTTAGCAACGCTTCCCACAAACTGCAGTAATTGTTGCTGCCAAAGATAGGCCAAGGGTAATGATAAATCTACTTCCTTAGCCGAGGTTGATATGTCCAACCCGAGAGCAAGAAATCACACGTCAGAGGCCCTAGGTATTATCCCAGAGGCAAAGGCTCCAACGGTCCAATTAGTCAAATGTGTACGAGGGGTTGGACAAGATACGATGTGAGAACTCAGACGAAGTCACTCAATAGCAAGAAAATTGGAAAGAATGAGTGAACAAGATAATTTACTTGGAGAGGGGGCACCTCTTGCCTTTGAGAATGGTTGGAGATAATTAACAATGGGCAACCGGGATTGCATTCGGCCAATGCCACATGGCACCGTCTTAGGCCTTATCGCATGCGCCTATATCAATATAAATTAATATAATATCAGAGACTATTTAATCAAGTAATCTAGTATGGACCTAGGACCAAGGATTCCATATCATTTATCTTTTCGAAAATTGTCTTCAATTAATTTGTCTTGTGGTTTTCGGTAGCATGGGAATTACTTTTAAACTTCTAACGTTTAACTTTTCAGAGGTCATTATTTATTTGGTTTTAAATATTCATAATCTCCCTTTAAACACATTCAACAGTAAATTAAGAGGTTATTTCAACAATGTTAACCTCTTATAATGTTGCCATTGGCCACGAAAGCCCCAAATAATCTTCCCATTGATGATATATAATTTCAATGTATAATATATAGCATTAAACAGAACAAAGTATTGTAGGTGGGATATCATTTATGTGACAAAGCTTAAATGATGAAATTGATGAATAATATAATACATTATATATAATATATTATATTATATTACATTTAATACATTATTATGATATAGTTATGTGATATATTTGAAAAGGTAAAACAATAAAATAGACATTTTTCAGAAATCAACATTCAAAGATACTGAACAGATTTTCATCATATTTAGAACATATATATATATATAATTATCCTTTATTTATTTGTTTGAGAAAGATATAAATGTATCCAAAAGTTTCAATAATATATTCAATTTAATTATTTTAATTTAATTAATAAAAATATCATAAATATGTCTAATTTAGTTATTACTATTATTGTCATTATCTAGAATTGACAGTACAAAATACACCAAGTAGTATATATATTAAGATTGGAAATCGAATTTACCAACCACCACCATATATATATTAAAATTACTGAAATTTAACATTTAAGGCGGGCCCAAATTACAAGTAAAGCTACTAAATCGATTACATGGCCATTTACCACCACCGGAAGAGAAACACAAGGGGTACAATAAAAACTACAATGGCTTTTTTTTCTTTTCTTTTCTGAAAAAGAGAACTGTAAAAATTTGCAGCTTCTCTCCTTCCTTCATGATCCACAGATGTCACTCAATAGAATGCTTGCTGACCTCTCTTGACATCAATTCAGCTTGTATCTCAAGCACGGCCATTTGAATACACAGGTAGTTCCAATTTACCTTTCTCCTTATCCTCTTCTCCTTCTAAGCTCAAGTTCTTTTCATCAACACTGTTTTTCTCTTTCATCTCCATATCCTTGCCCCATAGGACGGCATATAGCCCCATGACTATCAGCACAGATCCTACAACACTGAAACAAGATGAAATTAAACCATTCAATCAATTTACCCTTTTCTTTTTTCTTGTTTTTTCTTTCAAATTTCGATATATAAATTGAATGGATTGGCATTAAGAAATCTGGTGCTAGGAAACTACTATATTATGGGAGAATTTACCTTCCCATATACAACTTGTCTGCTAGTAGTGCCCATCCAATTACAGCCACGATGACCAATAAAAGTGGGCTGAATGCAGAAACATAGAGAGGACCCTTCTTTTCAATACACCATGACATTAGGTAAATTGCAAAAGCAGATGCCACAAGCCCCTGAAATCATGGTTAATAAGGTTTATCGAGCACATTTGATCTGTACTCTCAAATTCTAAATCAAAATGAACATATAAAGTGGCTATGAGCATCCCCATGAAGAAATCAAGCCCTTGATTTAGAAAAGCTGCTAACAATTTATATTGAGGATCCGCTTCTCCAATGTAAATTGTTTCTTTATTGTATAAAGTTCCAAGAACAAAACCAAACCACTAGCTGGTTTGAAAACAAATTAATTCTTAAAACAGAAACACATAAAACATATTCATCGTTAATATGTGGTTTTTGTTTTCAAAACTAAGATCAAAGACATGTTCTTGATTTCTAGTTTAAAGAACATGATTTCATTAGATTACTTAATATCACGTTCCATCAATTATATTAATTTTTATATAACATAATTTGTGTTTTTTTTTAAACATGTATTGTTTTTTACATAAAACCAACTTTTTTTTGGCTTTCCAAGACCAAAACACAATTCAACAACATATTTTTACTTTTTTTGTTGGTGTGGAAATATCAAAATAAAACAAATGAAAACAAAAGTATTTTTGTTGTAGAAAACGCCCTTAATGAGTTGATTAAAATAATGTTTGTAACTGTAATCAATCATGATACACAACAATATTAGTTTATGAAGCATACACTGTACAAAGATGTAATGAGTCTGATGCTTGAATGCAAAGACCATGCAGAAACTTGGTGATCGGCTGTGACTGCAATGATGCCACATTCAATGCTTCCCATGAGACACATTAATGCTGTGCTTGAATAAGGAGCTGAGAATGTCTCGCTCACTTTGGCCTGAAATCATTGCACGTGAACTTTCAATACCCTCAAATTATATTAATTCACAAGTTAGATAATAGCATTCGTTACTATATAATCTCCTTACTTAGTTTGATCCCAATTGTACATCTATGAAAGTGAGGTTTTCAATTAGGGTCTGTTCATTACTTAGGTGAAAACACTTGTTCAGACAAATGCATTTATCCGTGTTTTGATCAAAATTGTTCCCAAGTAAATAAAAGAATAAACAATTAACCACTGCTACCCATAAATTTTCAGAATTAAAAAGGGCAATTTTTTTTTTTGTAGTTCTATGATATTTTTGCAACTTTTCCCTCAAATGAAAAGGTTATTCATCTCTACGAGAGATAGATATCACTTAGCCATAAAAAACAATTTACTGTAAAATGTATAATTATCAAAAGTCGAACAAAGGTTATTGATCAACGGGAATAATGGCCTCACATAATTCTTCTATACAATTTACACTACTACCAATACTCAAATGGAATGAACCAAGAATTAAAATCCTTACCTGCATTATAAACCATGCTCCCCAGGAAATGACGCTTGCAATCAAAATTAAAGAGCCCAAAAGCGTGACCTTGTCATTGCTAGACCCACTTTCCGTTATACTATCCACATATCTCCAGTGGATAGCCGAGTCCGGTATGGGGATACGGATTCCTTTATAAAATGACATTAGCATTGCACCTCCTACACACATTACCGTACCCAATACTTTGGCTTGCCCTGCTTTCCTCCTCAGTCCCACTTTCTCCATTCTATAAACAACAAATTAAAAGACCCATTTTTAGCTTATTCAGCAAAAAGCCAAGATAAAGCGTTTTGGATCGGGCTTAGCTTAGGTTATGAAATCGGGTACGGGTTCGGGTTCAACCCTCTCCAAATGAAAGAATTGAATCAAGGCAATACCCGAATGGAACAGCCATGATGAAAGTCACAGCGGGTAATAAATTAGTCAATGCACATCCAATGGTTGGCGTGGAATATTTGAGCCCAATAAAATAAAGGCACTGGTTCCCGGCTATCCTGCAAATGCAAGCGAATTATCAGTCTTAATTTCAAAAAACAAAAAACAAGATCCAACGTACATTAGTCATCCACGTAGACTTGTCCAAATTTAGAGAACTAAGATTTATACTTTTATAATTAACTAATAATTATTTTAAAATGAAAACTATAAGAACAAAAAGAACTTACCCAAACAAGGAGGATAGAAAAATCTGAAAGAGAGTGGCTGATGTGATCCTCGGTCTTGTTTTCCTACACCAGTCAGCAATAGACATTTTAAGAAGAAATTAGGTCAAAAATAAGGACGGAGATACCTTATAGATAAATAATGGGTGATCATGGATTGACTCGGGCTTTGTATCTATGATAAGGGTTATAACTCAAATCCAAGTCTACATTTTTCAAATTACCCAATTTTGTTAAGTGGAAGTTGGTGAAAAAACCGTGTCACCATTGACTTAAATTTTAAACTACTCAAACGAGCAACCGAAAAAATCCAATACCCAATAAGTGTATTTTTCTATGCATATTCATATCTATCAAGTTTTGGGGAAGGTTATACATATAAATCGACCCCCAATAAAAAAAATTTTGACTCCACCACCACAGTCAGAGGTACAATAAACGAACAAGAAAGGAAGCTAGGTTTTTCATTTCAATATTAATGGAAGTGTTCCGTCTACGAAGGCGTGTTACAGTCCCATTATATAGGCTTGAACTGGCCCGCCCCGACTCTCACCAGTTTTAAATTAGCACGCATCTTCACCTTGTTTTCTGGTAAATTTTCGAGGATACACGTAACATATTCTTTAAATTCTAATCATAAATACATAAACAACAAAAATTAGTATATAAAAGATATATTTTATATATAATAAATATAGCATTAGAATCTTTTAAAATACGTATATGTATAAATTTATATTTAAAAATAAGATGTTCTATCATGCCCGATCCGTAAAGATCAGATACACGGCAGGCTTCTCGAGAGAACTTTGGACTTTTGGAGTAACCGGGTAATTCCAGCCCGAATCCAAGTTCGGATCCTCTAGTGACTGATCCTCCCGTGACTGTCAAGATAAAAATGGTCCGTAATACAGAAATGGAAGGTGGACTGCTTTCAGCTGCGAAGAATAACTGAAATAGCATTATTGACTTCTTTAGATTTCCAATAAAGGAATAGGGTTAGTTGATTACTTGTTGTTGAGTTGGAACTTGTAATAAATTCAAGGACATTTCGGTCAATAAAAATATCAAAATTTCGCTCTTCGTATCTCAAGTCTAAGCTAAGCTCTATAGGATTCTACTCAAGATGGCTCAGTTGTTGCAGAAAAATCTCCTCCATTGATGAACTGATAGGAGCTTCATTTTCGAATTATGAGAGAAAGAGAGGAAGAAGAAAGAAACGAAAAGAGAAAGGTAAAATTCAGTCAAAGCAAAGAAAGAAAGAATTCAATCACAAAGATTGACCAAATGAGAAGAAGAGAGAAACTGTAGCGGCTCATATTAACAAGGTTATTTTCTCTTTTACATACGTGAGATGTATAGATGAATAACTCTCCCAGAAACTCATGGAGAAGCCTAGCAAGTAGCAAGAAAGAAACATAAAGAAGCGGCAACTCTCATAGAGAAACCTAGCAAGAAAAATAAAGTAGGAGTGAATATATTTATATATACCTCTCCCAGAAATAGGCAAATGGACTGATTATAATGGTCGCGACGATCTGTCGGTAAGTAACCATGACAAGAGGGCTCATGCCGGAATCTATGGCCAGCTTGCTCAGAATGTTCATTCCAGCATAGCCTATTTGAACCATGATCATGGCTATACAGGGCAAGAACTCTCTCATCATCTTGTTGCGTGTAAGTATATTGAATATGGATCGATAGGTTGAAGAAATTAGAAACCAGAAGCAACAGAGAAGAAGAGACGGAGATAGAGAGAGAGACTGGCCGGCAGCCTGGCTGATAGAGAAAAACTGAAGAGAGAAGGTGGGAATCCAAGAGAGAGGGAGGAATGATATTTATAGGGAGGGAGTAATTCTGTTAAAAATTAACAAAAGAAGAAAGAAAGGAGGAGACAGGCCAATTTCCAATAACATGATTTCACTTTCGCACATTTTACTCATAAAAGAGTAATGAAATTAACCGTCAGGTTTCTTCCACCACCTGGGCTTCTGCATGGGACAAGCAATTTCCCACTCACTTATGGCTTTTTCTCTTGTCTTCCCCAGAAAACCCCCGTCTTATTTAAGAAAGAATGTCCCCATATCATTAAATCCTGTAAAGGCATCTTTGTATAGATTGATGACCAGATTCCATCCGCAGTTAAACATCAGCAGCAGAATACCTGGTGCTTCATCACCATGATTGGGACTATGGAATATATGTGATGTGTGGGGTCATCACTCAAAATGCCATGGAGATATGCTCTTTCAGCCAATCAAGGAGCGTTTTAACACCACGCTTTCGCTGTTACAACGCTCCAGCAGAAAATTCGCACCCGATGCAATCATGAATCATGAACACCTCAGAATCTTGTTGCAGCGTGAAGGGCGGTTGATCAGGTGCTGCTTGGATCCACCAAATAAACGTACAACACTTGTTGATAAGCATGACCGACCGACTGATTGTAATGCTTCAATGTAATCATAGACCCACTTTTAGAGCTGATGATACAGCTGAGGAATCTGAAAAAGAATTAATGAAAACCATTTAATACACAACTAACCGAGTACAGGAACGGCTAACAAGTTGTGCCCAAGAATCCAAGATGGACGGCCCAAAAAGAGGGGCCACTACTGCGTACTTCTAGGCTGGGTCCCACTTCAACTGAATGTTTCTTGTATTAGAGGTGCGCTGTAGGCAGGATGAAGCGCAGAAGTAAATTACAAATTCACAACGATCCATACCAAATGCAGTAAGTAACTCTGTTGGTCTAAGTGATGAGCTTTTCGCCTTTTCCTTTCTTTGTATTAGACCAAAAGAAAGAAAAAAATAGGGCTCCATTAAACCCAATTTTGCATGGGCTAGCTTCTGTGAACACTTTCTGTGATCTAACAACAATACAAGCAGTGACAAGTCTCTGGCCATAGTTAATGAATGACAAACTGTTAGAAAAATGGGCAGCATTTTAAGGGGATTGAGAGCCACAGGCCATTGGCCAACGCCTCAGCAAAGGCTTTTTACGCTTGATTCTCTAGAAACTACGGATATGTTTTGGTTTTACAGTTGAAGCTGGAATCTGAACCGAAATTGGAATGGTCTATTTTCTGGCCTGTTTGGTTTAGATAGGAATAGAATCAGTTGAAACGGGATATTCCTTCCACACAAGGAAGGGGGCTATTCCAATTTTGCCCAATTAAATAGTTGGAATCATTCCAATTTCTCATTCTAGACCCCTATTCCTGCAAATTAAACCGACCCTAAGGTTCAGTTTGAAAAAAGTATAAATACAAATACATACAAAATAATACAAAGGGTTTGCAGCCTACAAATTTATATTTTCAGTATAGATCTTTATATTTCTTTAAATTTATATAATATGGGTATGTAGATATATTCATAAAGTATTATTATTTATTATTATTATTAAACAACAAATACATTTGATATTGTATATGGTGAACAAAACGGCTTCTTTGGGACTTGAACTTATGGCTATCTAGTAAAGAGATTTGTTTAGCAATTTTAGTAAAGAGAAATGACATTCAAACCTATTAATAGATACATATTAATTTTATGTAAATATAAGCACACTTTAGATATTATTGGATCGGATTGGAGCAGATCCAAATTATTGTATTTGATTTTTTTTTTTTTTTTAAATGCGTGAAGGCTGATTCATTCAACAAATTGTTCAGTTACATCAGATTCGAAATAAGGAATCAGAAGGTGTGTGCTACAAACGGATGTCATTTAATTATTTTCCCTCTGGTGCACATTATCCCAGGCTACAATTGGCGTAGGCTGTTCAGTTACTCTTAAAAGTGTGATATCTGAATTCTGACTAAAACAAGTAATCAGAAAGATTAAGTTGATTGCAGTTAATTAGACACGTGGCTAATTGGTTAACAAATAACAAACTTTAACTTCCTTCTCAGCTGAGTGGACCAGTGGAGCTTACTTTTTGAGGAGTAGCCCAGCCTTATGAGATGATCTATCAAAACATGGTTCATGTGTTGCATGTTTACAAGATGATGAATCATGAATCCACTCTAAAGGCATGGAGAAGGAGGGAGGCAATTGGTGCTCCATCTAATTCACGCAAATAGGGTGGAGACTGGAGAGGCCGGAGGCGTGTTGTGTGTTCTAAGAGATTCAACTCTTCAGTTTAGCCATTGATATTCCAAAGAATTCCAGTTCCCGATGTGAGATATCACGTTTATCCTCATCCTGAACGTAACGAGCTTGTACAGTTGTAGTAGCCCACCGTAACTGCTCTTACAAATGCATGAGACGTCCAGTGTTTGAATTTTGAAATCTTCGGAGTCAAGAAAACAGAAGGGGAAAAAGAACAGCCATTTGGTATGATGACCAGACCAGGTTGAAAAGGTTCCTGGGCTTCGGTTTTCACCAGCTCTTCGCCTCTTCCTATTGGCAAAAGCAAAACAGGAAGAAGAAAAAAGAGAAAAACTAGCAGAATCAGGACTCGGGAGGGGCAGAGCACGAGACAAAAGTTGGATTGGGCCCATCTGCACACAACTTGAGCCCCTGTGGGCCGCACCCAACCCCTCCCCACAAGAAGAATATGAGCAAAGTTCAATGATGGTTGGGGTGGGCCTATTGGCTGATTGGCTCTATTGGCGAGAAACAAAAAATGAATTTCAATGGCGATCATGATTCATGGAACCAACGAACAAGAGATGGATGTGGATCCCTTGTTTAAAAGGCATTCTCCAGCTGTTGAATGATAGATGGTAGCTTGAAAGAAATAGGTTTTGGGGGAGCGGGGAGGGGTCTTTTAGGTACTCGCTAGTCGCTAGTCGCTAGACCTGGCAATCGGGTCGGGTTGCGTTCGTGTCAGGTTCAAGCGCATTCCGTCGATTGCCGGTTGGGCACTTGGGCCAACTTTAAGTTAGGATTGACTCACTGGTCAGATGAGTCAATGGTTCAACCACCTGCGTCAGTTAGTCTTTCACCAAATCAACATTTTTTTTACCAAAAATATGGGTTTAACCCTCTAAATCAGCTGCTTCGCATGGTCAACCATCCATGTCACAAAATGTTGGGTTTTAAAACATGTTATCCCGACATGGCCTATGACCCGACCCCGATTCCTGCTCGGGTTGGATTGGGCCAGGACACTTTTTAATCCGGGTCACCGCAAAGGGCCAAATACCCGTTTTTTAAGCCTGGCTTACGGGTTTGATCAACTTTTTGTCGGGTTTAGTGACCCCCCAAACAGTAGTTACATGAAGCACTATTTGAACCAATGTTTTTAACCTGCTGTTGATTTAGTCAGTTGAACCGTTCAAACCGTCATCTGATCAGGATTTTGGGTCCAGTTCAGTCAAGACCCATCATATGGTAAAAAATCATTGACTTGGTCAAGAACCATTTGACCCATCCGGTCAATCGTTGACCCGTTCGATCTGGTGACCAGGTCGTGGGTTGCATACTCAATGTATACAAACTTTTAGAGGCCATAACTTTGTACTCCGATATTCGTAGTCACATTGCCCCGCTGTTTTCACAAAAAAAAACCTTTTTGACCTCAAATTGCAATTTTTGATATTTTTATAAATAAAAAAGTTAAAACCGAATTAAAAACATAAATTAAATATAAAATAATACATATAACATATCTAAAACATATTTATACATTCTTTATTGCTAAAATATATATATTTATATACATACACACATATGCGATGACATGGCATGGTTTGAACCGTTTGACCTAGCCGGTCAAATCGGCGACCTACAACCCGAAGGCAAAAACAATTTGGCCTCAGGTCAATTTTTAAAACATTGGTCTAAACTATTAAAGATGGATATTTGTAGGTAATTCTGTAGGCAATTTTTGTCCTGTTTTCTTCTTATGTAACCTCCTCCTGCATTGTTGGTATTGTTTTAGTAGATCTTCACTTTTTTTTTCTACACTTTCATTCAATTTGTGACAACCATCTGTTTGGCATCAATGCTGTTGCTCCAAAAAATGGTGATACATCAGCGCCACATCGGAAAAACGGTGCTCCAGGAAATGCCTGTTTGTTTGGAACCATTTTTCCATAAAAAATGGTGCTCTAAACCACACCTTGGAAATTGAGAAGGCGTAGTTTGGAGCAACGCTGAATTTGACGTTTTCTCATATTGCAGCTCATTGCTACCAATGAGGACGTAATGTGGACTTCCTATAATGGGTACTAGTGCTGAAAATAGACATGGAGCATTGGTACCAAACAGAAAGTATTGTTGTTGCTCCAGAAAACGTCCTACCTAGCAACAACTTTTCCAAACAGAAAATAGTTCTTCCAACCCACACATCAACAACACCCTTTTATGAGAAAATGGTGTTGTATCTGTAGCATCGATGCCAAACATATACTAGGGTTGTCAATGGATCTAGTCTGAACCGATTATTAATCATGACAAAATCACAAACCAGAACCGTTCCAGTCCCAATAGACCTGATTATACTAAAAACTATACTTGTTGATTTAAATAATAACTTAAAGTTTAAATTTTGATAAGATAACCTTATATAAAAGTGATATAAAATACTACATTATTTATATATTAATAAATTAAACATTTTTAACTAACATTATCTTATTTAGTATCTATCAAATTTACCTTTTCAAATATAAAATATGTTAAAATTTCATATTTTATTATATCATATTATATATACATAAATATGCAAATGGGCAAGTAATGAAACGCAAGACAAAGTGCAAGAAAAGTGTAGGAGATCTGAAATGCATAATGCATGGGATACATGTATAAGTAACATAGATATTAGGGGTGAG